TCGAGGATGAGGCAAAAATGGTGTCTGTCGCGTTTCGAGAAGTGACAACATTTCGCCGAAAACAATTCGCAGTCTTTTCTTCTGCCAGCGCCAAACAGAGACACAAATTTGACTTTGATTGTCTGCACAAACTGCACGAATGAGTGGATGTCTTTTTCTTGCTTTTATCACTTTCATGCCCTACAAAACCGATCGGAAGCCTTGCTCGTGCCTGGTTCATTCGTGGCCGTCGCCTGGCTCGTCTGGAGGCCTGTTCGGGGCCAACTCGGCCTTCCCGACGAAACAGTGATGGCGTTGGTTCGGTGGCTGGTTTTGTAGGGCTTTGATTGGCCAGCCGAGAGACAACAATCGGCAACCACCAATTATAGTGTTTTCTTACACAAAACGAAATAGACCCTTGCTTCCGAAGCCAAAACAGAGCCGCTTTGTGAAGCGGATTGCAGACTTGCCAACCGAGTTATTGGTTAACAATGACAGACAAAAAGCAACCATTCGTACCCGCAAACAGTCATAATCGTCAAGCCATAAACCTACATTCTCCTGCATGCATTCGTGCACAACTACGTCCACATACATTCCTCACATGGGCAAAGATGCATTCCGATAATTGAACATACATACCTACATATCAATACACATATACAAGCATACAGACAGACATAAACAAGGACAGACAAACAAGTAGAATCTGGCCAAACGACGGAAGAAGGGAGACAAATGCGTCCTCCTTGTACCGACCGGGGGCTGGTTGGAAAAAGGGTAAAGAATTGCATCTGTTCCACGTGTTGATGTGCGCTTTCGAGGCGGACCTGTTTAGGCTCTGCTTTCACTCGTCGTCAAGGCCTGTGTCTCTCGAACCGGGAAGGTGTGAGGCATTAGGCTTCTCGTATCCACACGAGTTCAGCTCGATGAGTGTCGCGCTCACTTTTTAACTGCATCCAATCTTGTACGGCTTCATCCAAACTAATTCAATTATGTCTATTTTTATCAAATATTTCCGGAATTGTTCAACCTCGTCCGATATCATCTCGTCTCGTCCGACCTCATCCAATATGGCCTGGCATCGTCCAACCTCGTCTTGTTATGATCGACCTCGTCCAACCTTTTCCATGTTTGTTGAGCTTACTTCCATTTCGAGTGGAAGTGTTAGAGGTGAAGAGATTCGAAGGTCGGTTCCACCAAAAGACGACGCCGGATTTCTCTTGACCAGCTGTCGATTGGCTTTACTGGAAGATTCATGCTAAAGCTGTTTCTGAGGCAATCTCCTTCGGTTCCGGTGAAAAGGTGCTAAGCTTTCGTCCGTTGCATGACGAACATCATCAGAACAAAATATCATTGACACAACCAAATTGAAGCTGAAGAGTCAAGAAAACTCTCCGGCAAATCCCTAAAAAGTGGTGGTGGAACCAACCTTCGAATCTTTTCACCCAACACTTTCACTCGAAATGAAAGTAAGCTCAACAATTATGAAACAAGAGATTCCTCAAAACCCAACTTTTCTTCGAAACCTTCTCCAGCCTAATCCGACATCAGCAAATCTCATCTGACCTCGTCCATTCTTATCCATTGTTCGGGGACCTTCATTTCGTATAAAAATGCATGAAGAAGAGATTCGTTGGACGATCTCACCAGATGAGGACGGATGAAACTCGTTGTACTGCAGCCG